CTGAACTCAAAGCTAAACTCAGGGACAGATTCCTATAAAATCTGCCATGACTTGTTTTCCATCGTGTTTATTTAGTGAGAAACTGTTCTGCTGCGATGTAGAGCTTTGTTGGCAAATTCATCATTTAGAGCATTGTTTACATAAGAACAAAAAGCGGGAACAGGAGGCCCAGAGAGGCTCCATCTTTGGAAACTCAACTGGACGTGGCCCTGAGCAACCTGCTGTAGTTGACCCTGCTCTGAGGAAGGGGGCTGGATTAGGTGATGTCCAGTAGTGCCTTCCTGCCTCGACCATTTCGTGTTACGTGACATTTGCGAGTGCTCCATCATTGCTGACACTGCACTTTTTGATTGTTTTTAAAGCATTGTCCATCACCCCTGAAATTTCACAGCCCATGAAATCCCCACTTATGTGCATATAGTACTGCTTGAGATGTCCCACCATATCTCACTTGGGCTCTGGCTGCAGCTCCAGAAAGGGAAGGGTCTCTCAGAAGTCTGTGGTTGTACCTGCCAATGCTGAGCAGAACTCTTAGATGCCCTGGACCACCCCAAAATTAGCTAAGCTAATAATTAAAAGTGCTTAAGGGAATTATCAGGAAATAATTAACTGCTGGTCATGTGAATTTTACTGAGTGTAGAGCCATTTTGTTGATACTTCCATATTTTAGTTTGCAGTGATGATTTAACTCATAAATTCAAAGGCTTCACTGTGATGAATGAAACTGAGCGGTATGAAGCCCTCAGGCACTGTCGTTATGTGGATGAGGTCATCAGAGATGCACCCTGGACACTGACACCCGAGTTCCTTGAAAAACATAAGGTACATTTCTCCCCTTCCCCTTCCCTTTCCCTTTGTAGACTGACAGTTGAGAATAAACAGCAAGCCTGTGAAATTCTATTAGCTGGAGCAAATTATTTAATTCAATTAATTCTAGTCACTGAAATTAGGTACATGGCATTGCTTGTCTCCATCTTTGTCAGAAAATGTTATATTTGTCTTGCCTTTTTTTTCCCAGGATGCTGAGATGATTTCTGTAGTGGGATTTTTGAATGGCAAAATAACACTGAAGAATTATTCACAAATTGACTTTCAGGAAAGGAGATCATGAACCAGAAAAGTTATCATGTAGTGACTAAATTCCTGTTAAACTCCTGAATTAAAGGCATGTTTCTTAATTAACGTCAACAGGTGCAATAATTGGCAAAAAATATGTAAAAATGTGGTGTCCTCTAAAAGGCAGGATAGAATTTCTTACGTGCTATTGACTGTCTTGCGATATATATAAATCTTAACAAAAGCTTAATTAACTAGGATGTATTTTAGTGTCCACATCACTGGGTGACGAATGGACAGCATGACAGTAGTAGGTATACGTGTATATACGCACAGCCCTAAGAAGGCAGAATCAATAATCCTGCCTCCATGGTTTTGAAAGCAAAGGCTTTGCCACTTGACTTTTAGCTCCTCCAGTAAAAGCAGAAATGGGTGTCTTAGGTTTTCTACGGAATATCACACAGAGCGAGCCAGAGCGATGTGTTAATGGCAGTGCTTCTGGAGACAAACTTTCTGTTCTTTCATAATTGATGATACAACACAGCAGTTGTAGGCCTAAATCCAGTGCAATATTCTAGGTGATGGCTTTAGGATGAGAATGTCAAAAGCAAGTCAGCTGAAGTCGAGAAAAGAGATGATCCTCCACAACGATCCCCCCACTGAACGAAAATTCAGTGATGGTGGCATGTGATTCTTCTTCTGTTCACTGGCAGATTGACTTTGTAGCCCACGATGACATCCCATACTCCTCCGCTGGCTCGGATGATGTATACAAACACATAAAGGAGGCAGGTAAGGGCAACTTTACATTTTTAGCACCTTCCTTTTCAGCCTCAGTTCAAATTCGTTTACTGACTTTTGACCACAACTGCTGGGAGAGAAGCAGAAGAGATAATATCACGTTCTTTTACACCCTAATGGTAGGTACTGCTGACTTCAGCAGAAAGGTTCACTTTGTAAAACCACAAAGGATGTCCTTAGCTGAATTCCTGCCATAACCTCCAGGAGACCATTCAGGTCTGTCACGGAAGAGTCCTATCTGGGTTTTTCAAACAATTTCAGGGTGCTCAACTAAGAGCCCTGAACTGATGAAAACGAGTTCAGTTCCCACAGCAGCCCAGCCAACTTCAGTGGTTTGTTGATAACCGCAAACTGATGACTCCTTGACACAGCCCAGTCCTGAATACGGGCAAGCACAGGCAGCCTTCAGGAGTCATTAGGATCCACTTCTGATTTGCACCGAGGGTTCTTTTTACTACACTAACAGAGAGTTTAAATCAGTACCAGAGTGATTCATTTGCCATGACTATTTAGCAGTTTGGTTGACTATCGTATTACATTGAACATGACCATGCTGAAGTCATCAGGAGTTTGTATCCCTTCAGTTCAAGGAAGCTGAATTAAATCTGAGGAGACAATATCAAGCCACTGTGTGCCAGCAGCAGCTGTCCTAACACAGCGAACAGTGCGGGAGGAGGAACTGATGATACCTTTCCTCTCCTGCTCCCTGGAGGTGCTGCCCTGAACACTGGCAAATCCCTCTTCTTCCTGGTCTACATAAACATGTATATTGGAGGCTTAAAAAAGTTCCAGAGCAAATCTGCCTGATGGTAATTTGTCATCCAAAGTGACCTTCTCAAGCTATACAATAACAGCAGTAGACCAGGTATTGACCTGAGCTGAAAGAATAAGCTTTTTATAGCAGAAATTCTTATCTTTTTCCACTTGCAAACCTCATTGTGGTGTCAGACTCACAACCCTCCTTTGGGAACTGCTGTTTTACAGTTTCAGAGCCAGCCCCAGCTTACTTCACTAGGCCATGGAACAAAGGTCCCTCTGGTAAGGACGGGTCACCAAGGGACATGCAGCATACGTGCTGGCCAGGCAGCTATGCTGCCTTTCTTCTATAAGGTGCTGAGTGCACAGGACAACATGACAGGAGCCCTTGGTGTCACTGCATCGTTAACCAGACTGAGCTGGAGACTGCCCAAACCTGGCACATCCTTCTCTGCTGTTGTTGGGCATGGGTGCAGTGCGCATGCATCCTGACAAGAAATTGAAACTTTGTTTGCAGAATAGAGTATGGACTTACAGCTTCAGGGACCTGTGGTCTGTCCCACATCTGTCACTGCGAGATGCTGGAGAAGTGACTTCAGTCTTGTATGGTTGAATTTTGTTACATATAACCTGGGAATAAAGGTACCTTATTTGTGAAAAGTTTTAAGATCTAGTGCTGTAATGGTCCTAGTGCTCCAGAACAGCATTATTACAATAGTGAATTTCTCCTAGGGTGTTTTGTTTTAAATAGCCCAATGCTGTGGCTGCACTTGTGCATTTTCCTTAGTTCCAGTACTCCCATTTTCCCACATCAGGTTGTTGGGGAGCAGAGAAGCAGATGAGAACTGCAGAGCTCCTTGTGTAGATTCCCATGGGCTCCCATTTCCCCACTCCCTTCAGTGAGCGGGAGGGCGTATGGACAACGGTGAGCTGGGTGACGGTGCACTGACTAAACCTCTGCACATCTGTGAACAGTTAGTTTGGAAAATCAGTCCAACACATGAAGCATATGAAAGCAAAGTCAGTGACTAAAGGTAATGTTCTTATACATGGGGTTGTGCATCTACTTGAAAACAATTCCACTTTTGGATTAGCAAGGGTAGGGTTTGAATTTATTAATATATTCTGGTAGCTCTTATCTGTAAAGGATTCTGGCTCGAAGTGGTTTTCACTGCTTCCAAAAATAGTTTCCTGAGTGACTGCTGCAAGCCTGAAAAGCACGATCAGGGAAACCTCTCTGCTCGTGATTAAAATAATCTATTTTTTAGCAGAATATTAATTAGAGAGTGGAAGGAAAAAAATCTCCCATAGCATTTAGTCACAAGAGGCTGCTAAGCTGCTTGATTCCTTCTCCGTATCTTTTTCTAACCCTGTGAAATTAGCTAGCAACGCCTGCCTACTTCAAGTGAACGTGAGGATTAATTTGCCAGTAGCTATACCACCCTTTTAAGACAAAGCACTACTTTGTTTTGCAAAACCATTTCCAGTCTTATCTTACATTTCTCTCTTGTCGGCAGCTTGATGTTGCAATTACATATGAGTGACAGTAGTACTTTTTTGTAGCCCTATCTAACTACTAAACCAAGGTGTGCTAGCACTCTGCTATTATTGCCTTTGTGACTTGCTTTAATAGTTCAAGTGATCCTGTCTCGATGAGGAGCAATTAAAAAGCAATATATTCTTCAGGTGTGCTGAGGAAAATACAAGCAGTGTTAATAAATGCCCAGTTTTATTAGGGACGGATCTGTTGGAGCAGGGAGAGTGGTTATACAGCCACTGACATGGCCAGGTGGACACGAAATGGGGGCTATGGAAACCGATACCCTCCGTCCCCATGGTATATCTGTGTTTGTTCACACCACCATTACGCTTCATCTTCCTGTTACAAGCTACCGGCACCTCCAGGGTGGTCTCCAGTTACTGCAGCGCATCTCTTACCCGAAGGCGCTTCCTGGCTTTGCCCAAGGCCAGAGGCTGGTCCGCTGTACTCAGCAGAACACAGACCCTCAGATGGTGCGGCACAGGAGGGGAGGGGAGAGTGGAAATACACAGGAGAGCAGCAAATGGCCTTTCAATAGTGGGAGTGGAAGCCAACCCCCCGCTCCTTTATATAACATTAAATAAGGGCTACACTTACGGAAAGAACTGCTCAGTGAATTCTCACAACTGCGAGGTTTAGCCTTCCTGGCTCGGGAGCCCCTGCCAGTCTAATAACTTCCATATCACAGCTGATGCTGTGAAGAGGGCAAGTTTTAGCCTTTCTGAAGACTTGAGGAAAAAATGAACAGTATAGCAACCTAGTGCCTTCCCTAAGCTCACACAGGAGTGCCAGGAAGAACTAGGAATAAGACAGGCAGAATTGCAAGTCTCTTGCCTTTGGTCAGGCATTTTTGTGTTCGTCCTCAGTTACCTGAGGCAGTGCCTGGTCCTGCCGTGCTTTCTCAGCAGGCTTTCTTTTCCCGCTTTGCTCAGGAATGTTCGTACCAACGCAGAGAACCGAAGGTATCTCGACATCGGATATCATCACAAGGATCGTCCGGGACTACGACGTGTACGCCCGGCGCAACCTCCAACGAGGATACACTGCCAAAGAGCTGAATGTTAGTTTTATAAATGTAAGTACACTGACCTGCGTTTGCTTCTGAAACACTCTCTCCTAGCACCCCGAATGTTGAGTAAAGGTTAAGAAAGGATATCTTCCTCCTGCTGTTCTTAAAAATAGCTGGGAAGAAGTTAATTTAAAAGAAACCAGTAAGCTGAGGGTAGTTTTAATTGCTCCTGTTAATTAGCAGCTTCATTCCCATCTTATGCTTTCATGTTTGTGACAAAGCTGCTGCTCCCCCTTCCTCCTTGAGCTGTAGGTGACTTAATGACACACTAGGAAGGAGCCCACCCCCCCACCGCAGGCTTCTCAGCTACTCGCCCGAGACACGATTTCTTTCTTCATTCCCACTGTGAGAAGGCAGCACAGAGAGCAAAGATTTTCATAGCCAGACTTTCTCTACAATGTGACGGGATAAAAAACAAAAAACAGAACCCAATGGCTCAACAGTGAGATTAGTAGAGGAAGCCAAAATGGTTTTTAAAAGACAATGATGAAGTGTGTTAGGAAGTTGGTATGTAAACGATGCTGATCTGATCAGAAGCCACAATAGGTAGGGCAAGAACGCCATTTGAAAGGATGGCTCAAATTATTCAGCTTCCATATACAGAACTGCACCTTACCCTCCAGTGAGGAGTAAACACTTAATAGAAATGAAAGTTTACTTTCCTTCATTTTCCGTTTCAAGTTTTAAGGCCTCAAGATAACCCGCGTTACCAAAATCTTTCCTGTGATTGGACTGGCTCACAGGAGGACTTCCCCCTCCTTCCCTGGAGCTGGGAAAACCCCTCGTGAAGGACTGCATTGTGTCATTGCGTGAGGGTTTTGTTTACTTGTTTCTTATTTTGAAGTCTGGCAGATAAATCACAGATCACAGGGCATAAATATTGATTTCACTGTGCCTTTTTTTCAGTCTTCTACACCTCTAAAAAATCCTGCTTGTAAGTACTCCACCCAGAAGGATCACTATTGCAAATAGCTGTTAAATTAAGGCATGCTGGGTGCCTTGGGGATTCTCAAATTTATCCTTTAGTGGCTCTGATGTTAAGATACTGTTGCATAAGGTATGCTTCCCCCAGCCTCAGACACTGATGTATCCTGAAGTCCCTCCTGGCGTTTGGTTATTTAGCTTATAGTACTTTAAATGCAGAAATACTAATTTGCACCAGAGGCTGTTTGTGTTTCGAAATAAAAAACCACAGGATTTTGCCGAGACAGAAAAGCGCTGGTTTCCTCATTAAAGAAAGGCTTGGTCACCTTTTAGGTACAAAGTGAGTTTGGTTTCATTGGACCTTGAGGATTTAGTTTGGCCTTGTGGCCTGCAAAACTGGTTCTAGTGATTCACGAGCTAGAGTAAAACCCACCTCAGCACTCAACAGTATTTGTTCTAAAAGTAAGTTCAAGTAAATGAAGTTCACAGGAAATTAAAAGCCTATAGCAACTTGTGCTTCTACAGAGACCATTACACCTTAAGGGCACAGCGCTAGTTTGCTGTGTGTTCTGTGCATTTGAGGAGCACAGAAGCGTTTCAGGAGAAAAGCCCTCTAACCCTGAAGTATTTTAGAAGCTTGGCCCGACATTAGCCCCGAACATTATCTTCTCTGTCCCTCTCTTTTTCTGTGTGCCTTAGCAATTAGGAGTTTGCTCTCTTTTCTATCAAGTCTGCTGGCCACAAGGCGCTGGCCTACGCACATCCTTCTGTTGCAGCCAGAAGCTCCTGTATTAGCCAGGCTTGGAGGTGAAGAGAGTTTTCCTTCTGCTCCGCAGAAATCCAACCAAAGAGACATTTCAGTCCAAGTTATCATCCAGGCTGGCAAGTCAGCAGTGGGCTGTGTTTGCTGGAAAACCCAGGGAAATTTGCCTTTCGCTTAAGTTTGAGCTGTTAACTTCTCACTTGTAGCCTTCACAAGATTTCATATAATTTTCAGAGTGCATTCAGTTTGAAAATATGGAAAGATTCTTGTATTGAATTAAACACAGTAATCATACAAGACGGTCTTTTTGATATGTACCTTCTGCACTTCATTCCACAAATGTTAAATTTGCATTTATAAAAATAATATGGGAATAGTTAACCAAGGCCATATGTATTACGATACATTAATGCGATTTTTTTCTTCTTCTCAGCTGTCAGTGGCTAATTATTTCCAAGTTCCTATATATTAATTTCTGTCCACACTTTTAAAACAGGAGAAGAAATACCGCTTTCAAAACCAAGTAGACAAAATGAAAGAAAAAGTCAAGAATGTGGAGGAAAAATCAAAAGAATTCGTTTACAAGGTGGAAGAGAAGAGCCATGACCTCATTCAGAAATGGGAAGAAAAGTCCAGGGAATTTATTGGCAACTTTTTAGAGCTGTTTGGACCCGACGGGGCCTGGGTAGGTATTATGCCATCCCAAGAAGTCTGAGCGGTTTTTATTTATCTTCTGTAATGCAAGATCAAGAGCAGATTCTTTTGCTGCAGTCTTTGTTTTGATAGCCAGCACAGTAGGATAACGCCAGACCTGCTTGCTGAATCCAATAGCGCATGCCAGTACTGCAGCGGGAGCATTTGCCACTTCTGGCTGTTGCTGCTTTGGGATAATTTCTGTCTTTTGTGAAGGTGCGATGCTGAATGTGATACTGCATTCAGTAGAGCTGCATAACAGCAACACACGAGCAAACAGGCTAATACAGTCTGTTCTCCCTGTTAGCACTAAATGGGACCACACAGACATCAGGGAGAAACTATTCACTGGAGGTGGCGAGGGAAATAGGGGACACTGAAAAGTTTTTCAATAGTTCTTTTCACACGCTGTACTCAGCTGTGGAAGATGACAGTTTTCTAACTGTAAAAACTACTGACTTAAAGTTCCAAGAAATTATTTTACATGTCGAGTGGCCAGGCTCATCTAACTGACTGCAGAGAAGGCTTGGGTGGAGTTGAAGCACTTTCGAAGCTCTCCTCAGTACATGCTGGCTCCACAGAGTCCATTTACCAAAGCTCCCCAGGTGCCTTGTAAAGGCAGTTGAGAGTCTGTAACAGCATCCTTCTGGGGAGAAACCCCATGGCCTTACCTGCTCAAACCAAAGTCATGCACTGAATGGGTGGTGAGTTGGTGACACTGCAGAGCCCCAGAAGAGTCCTGGCCCCCATCTTTCAGTTCTGATAACTTGCCAAACCTTGAGAAACTTTGTTTTCTTGTACTACTTCCCTTTGCTACTTGAAACCAACAGCGAAGCTTATTTTGAATGTAAAAGTTACCATTTTTTTGAACGGACCTTCTTAGACCTTCCCGTTGGGAGTCAGTCCTTTTCCAACAAGCTCTCTGTGCGGCTGTGTGCTGGTGAAAGCCCAGGCCCCAGCCAGACCCTTCAGGACAGGCATTGTCTTGGACTTGCTGCTCCAGTTGCAAGCTCCAAGTGAAGCTTTTGCTCAGTCCGAGGAAATGTGAACAAGCATGGAGGAGAGCAGCAAGCAGTGCAGGGCGAATTGAGGGGAGCAGAGTAAGAGCTAGACAAGTAATCCCGCAGAACAGCAGGATGCTCCAGAGGTACCTTTTCGGACCGTGGTGCGCAAACGGTCAGGCAGCGCCCTCCTCACTTGAAAGCAAACCCTTTGCAAGAGGCTTGCGCAAAGCTTTAACTAACTGCTCATGGATTACAGTTTGAGGCAAAATATCAATAGAGGCAGCAATCCAGAAAAGACAGTTTAGGACTAGCGTGAAGCAGATACTATTGGAATATTTTTAAAGAGCCAACACACACATAATGTTCTCTCATGTCACTTTATCAGTTCATACCTGAACAACTTCCCGTCATGAAAGGTACCTTCTGTTGAAAGGATCTCCGCAGAGTTTCTGCTTATAAACAAACCCTCAGGAAAATTCACAGACCCCTGGTGAATTAAGTAACCCACATCACAGCCGTGTCACAACTCAGTGCCACCAAAACACATAGTACCTGCCTCTTACTGGAGTTCTCATCTTTTCTCTGCCATGACTTGCCGTGTTGATTACCACTCAGTTGAGAAAAGCCTAAAATTAGGCTGTGAAAGCTCCAGAACAGACTGCATCTTTATAATCTCCTTACAGCTACATCTGTCCCATGCAAAGGCAGGTGCTCTCTGAATAACACCGATCCCAGCCATATAAACAAATAGCTTACTTAGCAATTTGTTCATTGACAGTATCATTTTCCCTGGGGAAGGGAAGAGGGTAAACTCTTCTGATGAACAGCCCAGGTTTACCTGCATTGACCATATCCACGTGAAGAGTGCTTCCTCTGTAAATTATTCTCTATAGAGCTTGGTGAGTGTTCCCCATAAGGGGTGGTCCTGTGGCCATAGGTGCTGAATAAATAAAACTAATGCTAACAGAGCATGTGAAACCCACAGGAGGCGAGATGAGTTTGGCTGTGCAGAGAGGGGAAAAGAATTTCAAAGCCTTGATCCCATTCCCTGCCTCTACCCACTCAACACTGCACACTAACGGCATTTTTTAAAAACCTTTGCTCATAAAACATTTTACCAAATTTGATTAGAGAAAAGCTGCTCCGCAAAGGTCTTTGAGGGGGGTGGAGGTCGCCCCCTGTTTACTGAGTTAGTGTCCCAACCACAGCGTAGGAAATCTGGTGCAACCACAGAGACCTTTGCTAAGAACGAGAGTGAAATCTCTGTGCAGTGTTGTAGGAAAAGCGTCAGTGACAGCGAGCTGAGAGGTGGTGTGGCTTTTTTAAAATCAGTTTGAGCCTTGCAACGGGAAAGACTTTTAAAATAATGATAACTTGCTATTAGTGTCAAAACTGTTATTAACATTAATTTGCCTTATCACTGTTAGTTAGGTGTTGCTTTTAATGTTGACGTTAAAAGTAGAGGAATCGTCACGGGCATGCTAGATTCCTAGATCAGTAATTTGCATGCCATTAATATGCTATTATTATTTCACAAATAATTATTATAATACGCTTTATGCTAGCATCAATTTTCTAAAAGTAAGGGCCATGTAACCCACAAAAAAACCCCCCCATTTCTGAAAAAGGTCAAAATGTCAGTTTTGAAATGCCAAGATGTCTATAATTCATGGGCAATTTTGCCCACCTGTGCAATCCCTGTATGTATTTTTTCTGCGAGAGAGTCACCGAGGGGTCAGAAACAATGATTAACGTGGCATGAAACTTTTGTCCTGGCCTGAGAGAGGACCACCGCGCAGCCCGGCACGGAGGCCCTAACGGCAGAGACGCCGCTCCACAGAACTGGAAAGCAGCAGGGTTCATTCCAGCTCCTCTCAGACACGCACGAGCAGGCAGCTGCGCTTCAGGTCAGCGGGGAGAAAGCAAGGCTCACAGAGCAGGGTTTCCATGCTAATCTCCCTCTCGGAGGAGACGAGGTGTCCCTCCAAAGGGCCCGTTTCCCTCAGTGCACAGAGGGAGTCGGGGATGGCCACAGAGGGAAATGGCTGTGTCACATCAGATGTCTGCGGAGGCTCAGAGGAATCTTAAAGATTGTGACTGGAACCCAAGGCCGGTGTTTAGGCCACGCTGTGCATCTGCAGCCTGGACCTGAGCACGGCCTTGAAAGAATCAGCAGCTCAAAAGCAGCAGTCCTCCATAACGCCCAACTGGTGCTTGTTTTGTGGAGCAAAGGAATATCAACATATAGGCAATAACATTCAGAAACAGGAAAAATATTTTTGCCCAGTAGAAAGTTTGCTGAAAGCAAAGTGTTACCTCCCTAAACTGGTTGGGTGTACCTGAACTTGCTTTGACCAAGGCTTTGAAATTATTTTCCCACCTCTGGTAGAGGTCCAGAGCGCATCCAGCCTTGTCTAACCCCCTGCACTTCAAGGGAGCCATTAACACTTGTTCTACTTCTTCAGCACCCAACAGCCCGAGGAGCACCCCCCTGTTAGGAAGACCTTGCCTGCGAAGGGCATGACTTACTGACCCTGCTGGAGTACAGCTGGAGGGGAAGAGTCATTCTGCAGGCAGGTGAATTACACCACCACCTCCTCCTGCAGCAGTTGCGGTTTTAGCCAGCAACCTGGTGGCTAAAGCACTAACGCAGGAGGCAGGAGGCAATTTGGACTGGCTGGGCACTTACCCTGCTGAAGGTGTGAGTGCAGCAGCTTGTTCAAGCAACAAACTCTTTGCTGAAGCAGGAACTGGGAAGCAGGTGTCCTACAGCCTGGCTGAGGGCCTTAGCAGGAAGGTGGGGTTCTCCTTTCCATCCCTGGCCTGTGCGGCCCAAGGTACAGTCAAGTACCCCTACTCTACTCTGCTCTGGTGAGACCCCACCTGGAGCATTGCATCCAGCTCTGGAGTCCTCAGCACAGGGAGGACACGGACCTGTTGGAGTGGGTCCAGAGGAGGGCCACAAAAATGATCAGAGGGATGGAGCACCTCTCCTGTGAGGACAGGCTGAGAGAGTTGAAGTCGTTCCGCCTGGAGAAGAGAAGGCTCTGGGGAGACCTTATTGCAGCCTTTCAGTACTTAAAAGGGGCTTATAAGAAAAATGGGGACAGACTTTTTAGCAAGGCCTGCTGCGACAGGAACAAGGGGTAATGGTTTTAAACTAAAGGAGGGTAGATTCAGACTAGATATAATGAAGAATTTTTTTATGATGAGGGTGGTGAAACACTGGAAGAGGTTGCCCAGAGAGGTGGTAGATGCCCCATCCCTGGAAACATTCAAGGCCAGGTTGGACGGGGCTCTGAGCAACCTGATCTGGTTAAAGATGTCCCTGCTCACTGCAGGGGGGTTGGACTAGATGGCCTTTAAAGGTCCCTTCCAACCCAAAGCAGTCTATGATTCTGCCACATGGGATACCAGCCAAGCTGGGACACCTTGATCTCCCCCAGCACCAGTACAACACCATGGAACCACTGCAATGTCACTGAGCTTTTTGAAGTAGCTGGTGAGGTGCCAGGGCTGGAGGGAGTCAGTGTTTTGCTTGGCCCGGAAAAAGATATGTCATATCAAACATCATTTTTTTGTTGGGGGTTATCTTCAGTGAGAGGATGAAACAGACTAAGTCAAGCCAACAAAGCCTCAATTTCTGTGATCTAAAGAGCAATTTTGCACTCCTACCACTGAATTTCAACAAGCTCCGGGGCTTTGCCAGCCCTGGTGACATCCTCACGGCTCTCCTGGCAGCGTTTATCAGGAGCAACCACCATCTGCTAACTGTTGAGATTTTAGGAAGTCTTGACTATTTTGGACCTAGCAGTAGTGCAGGGGTAGGTTACACGCCGTGGGTCTTTATGCATGAGAGCGTGGCTAAGCGTGGCTCCGGGCAGGAACCGTTCTGTCATGCTGCACTGCAGCGACATCCAGGCTCTAAAACTAAGTCAATAAAGGCCCATGTGATAAAGATATAAATTGGGTGAGGGAGCCCACAGAGGAACAGTTAGGCTTGGTATTTGTGCTCGATCGTTAACCCCCGGGATTAGCAAACACCAGAAACCTGATGGGAAAACCTAGCGTTTTCCCCTCTGCTGGCAGGGAATACTGAGTTTCAGAGAGGAGGAGGAGGAAGAGCAAGACAGGCAGGCACATGCTCCTTGGCTGGGAGGAAGGGCACCACAGAGCAGAGCCGCTGCAGGGGGAAGGGGAGGAGGAACAAAACAAAAAACTCAAGCTGAGAAAGTCTGTGGGCTGCAGCTGCCCAAGCAGGCAAACCCAGAATACATTCTGCAGAATTATTTTGCTCTCAGACCTGAGCAGCAACTTAACTTTGTCTGGGCTGGCTCTTCCATTCCAGCCGAGCATCGCCTGCGATCCAGCTCCTAGTACTCCAGCCAAGGTTGGGACTTCTTGTTCCCCATCCCCAGGAGGAGCAGCAAGGCACTCGCCTTTGGCATTTTCCACATGAAGCCTGCAGCAGCCACGCAGTGCGTGCCCCATCTCCTGTAAGCCAGCCTGGCAGCCTAACGCAAGGCCACGTAGGCGCTAACAAGTAGCAGCATTTGCCTTAGTGTAGCAGATTGCTTGACTGGAAAGGGGGTCTCTTCTACCCTACCGGCGCTGGCAGGCCTCTACTCAGCTTTACAAAGCAAAAATGACAATAAAGCCCAAAGCAGAACATAGAGCCTGCACGTGTTTCTCTTTTCAACAGACGCCTGAATTCTGACATTCCAACCCCCAATTTAAGGATTTGGGTGGTGTCTGCTCCAGGGAGCTGGGGAGGTGGCTGCCAGTATTCGGCAGGCACTGGGCTGCCTCCTTTGGGAAGGGAAGGAGGAAAAACGGCTGGGCCAGCCAGGAAGCTCAGCAGGAGACGGGTGGTCCGTCCATCCCAGCACGCTAAAAGGGAAGGGTCTTGGGAACAAGGAACGATGGGAGTTCAGGCAGAAAACTCACTTTTTGAGACAGAGTGTGACCAGCACATACAAAAAATGCAAAGGGAGTTCCCCCTAGCTGGCTTAGGACAATACACGCAGTATTCTCACACTAGGGGTGTCCTCCCTCATCATGTAAAAAACAGGTTATTGTGAACACAGTAGAAGAGGCAAAGGCTAAGTGTGGGCCGAATTGGCCATGCTTCGGAGCAGAAGTCTATCCTCTGTCTCCCTGCTCTCTCCCAGGTGAGAGGACAGCGCAGCCCAGCTCCTGCTTGCCCACAGGCATACCTTCCCCTCTGTGCATTACTCAACGAGCATCTTTTCGCTTTGCTTTTGCAGAAGCAGATGTTCCAGGAACGAAGTGGCCGAATGCTCCAGGCTTTTTCTCCCCGGCAGAGCCCGAACAGCAGTCCTACGCGAGGCCGTTCTCCATCCCGTTCTCCATCTCCACCCTGGGTCTTCAATAAAGCCTCCCCTCCCTCTTCTCCAAAAGCTGCGTCTGCCTCCCTCAGCAGCATGAGTGAGGGAGACGAGGATGAAAAGTAAAATAAAGATATATTTTTTTAACCATGAGACAGAAGAACAAGCTATGAACTCAACCGCTGAATGGGGAGAAGTGTGAGGAACATCTGGGGTATCTCTGACAGCAGGGAACGTGCTCTGGGAGAAGATGCTGAAAACGGACTGGAGCACAGCAAGCGAGATCTCAGGAAGAGCTTATCCCATCCCCACTCCCTGGCGGTGCCTGGAGGCCCGGCCAGCAGTGCTTGCCAGACACGGTACCGAGGACTGACAGAAAAACATACACCTTTCTGCAAGTTCCTGTCCATGCGTTGCTGCTTACAGCTGCCGCGGCCAGGCCGGGTCGGCGGGGAACTCTGCACCGAGTGGGGCTGGCGGGAGGAGCCCTGTCGGCTCCTGGTCTGGACCCGGCATGCAGGCATGCGACGGCTGCGGCCCGTGGAGGGAGAAGATGCAGTTGTACCGGACCCTGCTAACCTTGAGCTCTTCTGGCACGTGAAGGAATGGCACTGCTGCAGCAAATACATGCAGAAATGAGAAATAAATTTTTACTTTTTTGCTTTTTGAATGAAATCTGCCCCGGACCCCAAACCATGCCAGCGAAATGGAGAGCTCTCCAGCTGACTTGCTGGAAATCCCTTTAATATATTCAAGCTATTGAATGCTGCTTGTTGACCAAGCCTCTGTAGGGGGTGTATGTAAAGAGTCAGGCTGTACCTGCTTTATCAAATCGCTCTCCGTGTTCCTAGTGCCTGAACAGCTACCTGGTAACTTCTCTTTTGCTCCCTGGCTTTGCACTTTGGAGGCAAGAAAGTAAATGAAAAGACAGCCCTAGCTGGAATGTGTTGTTGTAGGAAATAGATAGTTGAAGAGATTGGTGATTTTTACTGGTGAATTCTAAAAAACACACGTGGGATCCCAAGGCCTCGGGACGTGGCCTCTGAGGAGACCCTGCTGCTCCCTGCTACGTATCGCCAAACGACGAGCACAACAGTGCTGCTGTCCTCACGTGATACTCAGCCGGTTAAACAGTTTCTCATCACACTCTAAACAAGATGTGTTCACGGACACCCTGCCCAGCAGGGGTCTCGAGGCCGTTCCTCTACCCTAACGTGGAAAAAAAGCTGGAAAAAACAATGGAAAATTTTAAACAGGATTAGGCGTGGGGATTTTCTTTCTCCGTCCGTGACACCCATACAGCCCCAAGCAGAACCACAGAAAGGGTGGCACAAGTGAAGCTTTCCCCTCCCCTCGAAGCAGTAGCTGATCTCCTTCCAGCTTGGCAAAGCCAGACCTGCCTGACGCCTGGCTCCACCACTCCGCCCCGCAGCTGGCGCCTGGTGAGGGGGCTGCAGACTCGCAGGATTTGACCCCCAGCCCCCACGGCTGCCCTGCCCCACAGCTCAGAAAGCCACAGAAACACCAGCCCGCATCACTGTGGTAGGCCTGCGAAACAACGATGCGATTTTGCTCCCAGGCTCGCCTGGGGAAGCCTGCCTCAGTGCATGGGCATGTTCAAGGCTCTCCAGCCCAGCACCAGCTTTGGTGCCAGGCCAGCAAGGTAAAGGGTGCTGCTGCCTGCCTGTCCCCCCGGCAGCCTGCCGGGCACAGACCCTGGGCAGCCTGGGCAGCGGGTTGCAGCAGCGAAATGGCTCCTGTGCCACTGCTCCCTGGAGTTGCAAACCCGTCAGGACGTGCAGCCCGCTGCAGGCACCAGTCAGCACTTTGCTGGTTCCCTGCGCAGGCAGCACGGGAAACGCTGGGAGAGGGAGGGCTCTGAGCGGCTCTCGGAGTAAAAAACTGTGAAGGAACAAGACACCCGAGTGCTTGAGCATGTGGCACGGTGGTACCCAGCAGCAGTCCCCCCCAGGCTACCATCCTTACCTCGCCGAATGACCTAGTAGGTGAACTCCTTTCACTTCTTCCCTTCCAGATACTTTTCCAGGCAGGTAAATTACAGATCCTTGTTCCAGGCACCAAATGAGCCCCGCACTCTGTTCATTCCCTACAGCTTTCATCCCTCTCCCACCATTGGGTAACTGATTTTTCTTCGGGAACGCTTCTTGCCAGACACTTCTCTGACCACCACAAGACTGGGCACACGGTATCTCGTGGCGTGCTTTGTCCTCTGGAGTCACGCTAGTTCCTTCTTCACAGAGCTGCAAAAAGAGATGAGCAGGGAGTGGGGTGAACTACCACTTTCACTAGAAGGTGCAGGGGGAGAGCCACAGCTAGGTCAGCTGCCGCCAGCGGTGCGCCCGCGGTGCAATTAAGACCTTTCTCAGCCTTAGGCAACCTGTTACTGTAATTTCATACCTGGGATGCACTCGTTAGTTTTTCTGATCCTTTGCAAGTCTTAAGTCTTCCCATCACAAACCACTCCTCCACCACGGGAACCGTCTGCTCTCTACTGGTGCTGTTTACACGACGAGCCATGTCCAAATGCAATGGAGGTGGGCAGGTTTTTGTTGTTCCTGGCTTTTACCGTTTGTTTGTTTTACTTTCATAGCGCTTAGTGTTCAGCAGCCCTTGTTCAGTGGTTTGGGCGGAAGACAGCACCGCGACTTGTAAATAGGAACTGGAGGAAAACTCACCAGTGACCTCTTCTTAGCAGAAGCTGTTTCTCAGAGTCACAGGGGGCTACCCAGCGACAAAGCCATATACTGTACCAGACATCCTTTCGCATTTAGGCTATCAATAAGATGAAGCCTTTGCCCTGCCGGTACAGACACCAATATCCACGTGCTGTCTCCAGCAAACCAGAACCTCATTGTCTCTGGACAGGTGGAGGGCAATTTTGCACTTCTGAGTCATGGTCGGGTTTTATTTTTCATGAGTGTTGCTTTAATTCAGTCCTGTTCATCAGCCAAGCTCCACATGAAAAATAAACAGTGTACAACAGATACTGCTGCCTCTCACCTTCATTTTATGGCACCTTTGAACACATAAACACAACCCCCAGCGTAAGCCCCACCGATAGCACAGGGCCTCTTACCCCCATCCTTTGTACCCGTCCCTACGCCCCCACGAACGCCAGCCGGCCCCAAATCCCACTGCTGGCGGCGCTGCCGCTGCTCTCTGCTCTGACAGGGTCGCCTCTCTCCTCGCCTTCCCTCACATCCTTCTGGCTGCACGGTAGCGGCGGGGGCCTCCCTTCCCCTCCGCCCCAGCGCAGCGCAGTCGAGAGCCACTATTTTAATTCTGACTTCTAAGTGGAAGAAGTGCTTTCGCAGCCCTCCCGGTTCTGCTGCCAAGAACCGTCCCCAGCAGCTGCAGCTGTGGTGCTCCTGGGTGTGCCAGGATGCTTTGGTTTGCAGCTGTGCCAGAGGCATGCAAAACTGCAGCAGCAAACGTTAGCCGCAGGGACGACTCCTTTGGCCTCGACTCTTCCCCCAGCTAAGCCAGTCTGACGCTTGACTGCTCCTGCTGCACTC